TATCTTGTCTCTTATTCTCTGCCCTTTGTCCCTCTGGGGCAAATAAATCTTTGTGCTGAGAACCGGGTAGTGGAATTCTGAGCCAACACTAATACTCTCAGTCCGGCTATTGTCCATAAACTCAGTATCCTCTGCCTTCAGTATCCTGAGTGCTAGGGTTATAGCTGGAAACCACCACATATGGCTCAGTTTTTAAAATAGCTATTATTTTTGAACTTTTATGTGCATGAGTGTTTTGCATGCATGTATATCTGTGCATGCACCATGTGCATGCCCAGTATTCATGGAGGTCAGGAGTGAGATCCCTGATACTGAAGCAACAGATGATTGGTTGGCAGGCACTTATGTGGGTGCTGGGACCACAGCAGCAAGAGCAGCAAGTGATCTTAACCACTGACCCATCTTCCCAGTTCCACCTATCCAATCCCCTACACCCGCCTTTAAAAGACAAGGTCTCGCTATAAAGTCCAGGCTCCCTCAAACTTGCTGCAGTCTTTAGGCCTTGGCCTCCTGGGTGCCGGGATTATGAGTGAAGGGTCCAGGAGTAAGAATACAAAAATGTAGATTCCAGAAATAGGAATGTAGAAATAAAGAAATATAAAGTTGTAAGTGTAAGAGAAAGAGAACAGACTGTCAGCAGCTTTCTCAGTAGCTTAAGGATCAACTATTAACAGTGGGTTACTCTGCTTTACAACCCATAGCCCTATTTACAAGGTGAAAGCATCTCTCTGAAAACTGAGAGCTAGCCTACGGACATGAGCTGAGTTAACTTTTAGGAAACAGATATATGACCTCTGGGTTATGCATTATCCCTGCTATGTGAAACTGGCAGCATCAAAGGGGAGAGCACGGGCTTCAGTAAACACCACCTGGAAGTACCAAGGTAGACAATAGATTAAGTACAAACACCAGTTTTAACGGAAAAACTCGGTTAATGGAGATTGTTACGTAAGGCAATCTGTATCTGAGTTTTACCTCGAGATTGTAAAAATTCCTTTGTTCGGACATAATGCCTGGTGCCCCTAGTATAAAAAGCTGGGTTCAGAAACCGGCTTTTGCCACAGCCTTACAAAATCCATCCCTGGCTGGCTGTGGTCTCAGCTAGCTGATAAGCTTTTTGTGTCCCATGGAGAATTTTTTTTATTTTTTCCTGAATTCTGGAATAAGGTTTGCTTCTGGTTTATTAAACTTTGGCGGTCTGTCCCCATCTGGACCCAACAATGGGTGTGAGCCACCGCATCTGGCTTCACTCCTTCCATCATAGTTCACAAGACACTGTTATTAGAGACCCACATAGGAGCACTGGACTGAGCTCCCAAGATCCAAATGAGGAGCAGAAGGAGGGAGAACATGAGCAAGAAAGTCAGGACCACAAGGGGTGCGTCCACCCACGGAGACAGTGGGACTGATCAAATGGGAGCTCACCAAGGCCAGCTGAACTGGGACTGAACGAGCATGTGATCAAACCAGACTCTCTGAACATGGCTGACAATGAGGGCTGACTGAGCAGCCAAGGACAATGGCACTGGGTTTTGATTCTACTGCATGGACTGACTTTGTGGGAGCCTAGTCTGTTTGGATGCTCACCTTCCTAGACCTGGATGGATGGGGGAGAACCTTGGACTTCACACAGGGCAGGGAACCCTGACTGCTCTTAGGACTGGAGAGGGAGGGGGAGTGGGGGGTGTGGGAGGGAAATGAGAGGATGGGAGGAGGTGGAAATTTTTAATAAATAATAAAAAAGACACTGTTATTCACATTTACAGCAACATGCTGGCAACACAAGATATTTCTTGCTAGCAGAAAAACATTTGCCAGTTGCTGAGGAACGGTTTCCTGACATTGGCCTACCCAAACCTCATACTGGCCAAGCTGAATAGGTTATCTGGAAAGTCTTAAGAACCAGAATTAGATGAATACCTCAGTCTTGGGATCAGTAACCTTGGGCATCTATGGAAAAATGTGGGCTTCTATTCCTCCAAGGTTAAAGCCTTTCATCATACTGGGAAACTTTAGACATAGGATTGAAAAGAGAAGTGAGACAACAGATCTTTTAGGGCAGGATGTTTACAACGTGAAAACAACAGGATGTTCTAAAGGGGGGTGGCATGTGAACCGCTCTATCCTGCAGGGAAGCTCCTTTAAGACCAGAAGAAAACATCCCAAAATTGCTTCAGGAAGTCCCTGAAACTGATCAAATTTGCTAGAACCCTCCTGCCCCAAGAGTATTTAAACAGTAAAGACTGCTTTCAGATCAGCTTAGCTTCCAGGAAGAAGCAAAGACACTCAGCTGCCTGGAAAAGGTTCAGCCCAACAGAACCATAGGAACATACCCAACCTGTTGAGCTGCCATAGGTTGTTCAGCGTGTTCCAGGTTTCCAGCTTTTATAAACCGTCACCGGTGCTTGGCTTTTGGGAATGTAGTTGCCTGAGTAATTTCTGCTCTTCTAAGTAACCCCAGTAAAATGCACTGGTTCACCAAGTTGGACTTTGGTGATACCTGTAATTTGTTCTGTCCTTGATTCCCTATCTGGGGCGAGTAGATGTTTGTAAATGTCTCCCCAGGAAAAGCATGCTTCTGAAGAGCAATGCCTTTGGTAACTCCATCAAAATATCACCTGTTTTCACCTGCCTATTTCACGTTATAGTCACATCTGACTCCATGACACCGCATACGGACAGGTAGAGTACACAGGAAAGCACTAGAGAAACCAAGGTAGAGACACGCTGGGCCTGCGTCCATGTAGCAACTGAGGGCCTTTGAAGGGACAGACACCATCTCCCTAAAGGAACTGTCTTGTGCTGAAGCTCTAGTCTCAAATAACAGGAATCTCCCATCCTGCCATCCACTGATCTCACCTGGAAAGTGGATGGCAACAACCAACTTGGATCTGAAGATTTGTGTTTGCTACTGTGGTGGTTTGAATGAGAACGGACACCCACAGACTCATATATTTGAATGCTTGTTCTGTAGTTGGTAGCGCTGTTGGGAAAAATAAGGAGTTGTAGCCTTGTTGGAGGAGGTGTGTCACTAGGGGTGGGCTCTGAGGTTTCAAAAGCCGTGCCATTCCCAGGTAGTTCCCTCTTTGCCTCCTGGCTGTTACCATGAAAGCTCTCAGTTTCTGCTTCAGCACAATGCCTGCCTTTTGCCATGCCCACATTACGATAATCATGGACTCCACTACCCTCCGGAACCATGAAGCCCAGATTAAATGTTTTTACCCCCTCTATGCTGCCTTGGTCATGTTGTTTTGTCATGGTAACAGAAAAGAAATTAAGACACTTACTCCCTGTTTGCCTATAACGTAACTATATCCTTACATCTCTGAGATGTGTAATGACTTGCCAACAACAAGAAAAAGAAACTTAAATCAGGAGCTAAGGAGGTGGCTCAGTGGACTAGCACACTTGTGCAAGCATTGAGGACCTGAATTAAAATCTCCAGAATCGATATAAGAAGTCAGATGTGAGCCAGGCGGAGGTGGCACATGCCTTTAAACCTAGCACTTGGGAGGCAGAAGAATATCTGTGAGTTCAAGGTCAGCCTGGTCTACAAGAGCTAGTTTCAGGACAGCTAGAGTTGTTACACAGAGAAACCCTCTCAAAAGACAAATAAATAAACAAAAATAAACCAAACCAAACAAAACAAAGAAGCCAGATGTGATTATACATGCCTGTAAGTCCAGTAATGAGAGAGGGGGAAGACAGGAGGATCATAAGAGCTTGTTGGTCACTGCCTAGCTCCAGATTCAGTGACAGACTTATCTCAAGGGTAAGGTGGAAAACAGTGGAGAACATTTAACATCTTCCCCTGGCACACATACAGCACACAGAAACTAATTTTGGTCACTAACTTCTTGCCTTCCAACTTTAGTTTTCTCAGGTTTGCAAGACTTAACTTTTATAAACTCTAAGTCTGATCAGTGCTTTTTTTCCCTTTTTTTTGGGAGTAAACTGTTTAAAAATAAGAAGCCATCATTCTTTCAGCCTACGGATGGGTACTAGCGGGCTCCTTCCCAGCACCATTGTTGTCATACACAGCCTCTTCAACAAATCACGTGATTTCATATGCTTGCCAAACTCTGGGACTACATGTTGGGTCAATGTAAATGAAGTTCTGTATCCAGAGTAACATTTAGAAATGATGTATGGAACAGAGGAAGGGGCAGTGAACCCAGGAGCACAGACGGATGGACAGACTACACACTCGTATTCTCGTGTTACTGTGATACAGTGAGCATGTGCTCCTGAGCAAAGGTGAGGCATGTCTCAATGGTGAACATCTACAGCAACTCTCAACACCACAGAAGCCCCATGACATCCAAGAGGTCTGATCCCCTGCGAACACCAGAATCTGAGGATGCTCAATTCTTTTATAAAACAGCCATTTTTTTTAAAAAAAATATATTATTATTTTTTATTTTATGTGCATTGGTGTTTTGCCTGCATGTGTGTCTGTGTCAGATCCCCCAGAACTAGAGATACAGACGGGTATGAATTGCCATGTGGGTGCTGGGAATTGAATCCCAGTCCTCTGTAAGAGCAGCAGTGCTCTTAACCTCTGAGCCATTTCTCCAGCCCCCAGCCAGTTTTTTAATAGCACACCCTCTTGAATTCTTGAAATCATCTTTAGATTTGTGTAAATTATACACTGTGGCCAGGCATGGTAGCCCACACCTTTAATCCCAGCACTCAGGAGGCAGAAGTAGGCAGATCTCTGTGAGTTGAGGCCAGTCCATTCTACACAGAGAATTCCAGGGCAGCATGGACCTCATAGAGAGGCTCTGTCTCAAAAAACCCAAAAGTCAAAACCAAATCAAATCAGTTAGGAAATAAGAATAGGAAAAAAAAATTCTGTGTGTTTTTATGACTACTTTCATCCCTGGATGACTGAGTCTACAGATGGAGAAGGCTGATCATACTTTGTAACACATTATCTGTTATGCACGCTCACAAGTACTTCAGGTGAAACATTTCCAGTCCAGGAGATTTTAGTTAAGTTTTTCTTCTGCTTTTATTACAAGCATATAATATTAATTGGCAAAACACTGAATACAAGCTTCACTATTGTGAAATCAAAACATTAAGCAATATTCCAAAAAAGATTTCAGACAAAAACTAGCCACTTGATGGTACAAAAATTACACACTAACACAATCATAAAAAATGTAAACTTTCAAATTAAACAGTCAAAAATATGAATCTGCATCATTTCATACACCATGACAATTGTTAGCTGTGGCTGCATTCCAAGGTGGATGCACGGTGGTGCTGCTGTCTGTGACCTGACGTTACTTTCACTTGGGAAAAATGTGTCTGGTACAAGTTGAGAGCCGGAACTGACATGCTACAGTGACACACACTTCAGTTCTTTCTCCAAATGTGCTCTCGGATGGGAGTAAGTGACAACAGGTGTGAACGCTGGGTGTGAGAACCACAGTCCCACACAGCTGTTTCTGATGGGAGCCTAAATGGTAGCAATTCCTACCTGGAGGAATGCAAGATATGCAGACTGTGGTACAATTAAGTGATTTTCCTAATCTATGTATCCCAGTTTATTTACTTGGTGTATTTAATATCAAGGCAGAGAAAACTTTTGTTTTCCTGTTAAGGTCACATGTGATGTGTTGGGGTTTAAATGATTTCCTGAGGAAACAGACATATTGTGTGTGTGTGTGTGTGTGTGTGTGTGTGTGTGTGTGAGAGAGAGAGAGAGAGAGATATTGAGATTTCGCTATCTGCACTAAATTTATTTTCAGTGTTTTAGAAGCATACTCAATATCCATATACAAAGTAGAACTCAGTTGGCTCATTCTTGGAATATTTAAGCTAATGATACATTTCAGAGCACTGTGATACACCACCCTGTATGCCCTCAGAAACAAAACACACCAGTCTCCAATGATTCTGATGCCAGGGCAGGCATCAGGGGCCAGCAGGCCTGTAAAGGTCAGCACTGCCAGGTTGATAGGTGGAGACAATGAAATCCCAACCCTCAGGATGGCTCAGTCACAGACTGACTCAGCTCAAGGATTGGGTGTGCCCACAGTAGACACAAGCCTAGCACGATGCCAACCTCATCACTTCCTGCCTGGCTGCTTATCTTTCAATATTGATGGAACATATCTACACACACACACACACACACACACACACACACACACACACTCACTCACTCTCAGTAACAGCATTCTTATAATAACAGTGAAAAAGGCAAAACCAAATAGCTGAATGCACAGATATTGAAATTCCACCTATATTCCCTTTCAATTTAGTAGAGTCGATGCTAGATCACAATTTAAACACACTCTAATAAATGCATGTTGGAACCTATTGCACAAAAGCATAAAAATGCTCTTCATCCCTATAAAAACATACAAACCAAAGGCTACAAAAAGTAAAAGAAGCTTGCAAAACATCTCACAATTTTATCTTATATGCCTGTAAATAAAGCTGGACCACAGAAACCAAACAACTGGATGGGAAAATATGATAGAAGGCTTAAAATAGAATAAATAATTTTATAAAGTTAAGTTTTCTTTTTTTAACCCCCCCAATCTTAAATTCAATATTATATATTCTATCTGAGATTTCTATTTTCGTGAAAATGGTACTGAGCGAGACCACGTGCTGGGAGGCTGGTCCCGGGGCTGCCGGCTGGATGCATCGGCAGCCATGAAAACAACTTCACAGGAGCTCCGCCCGCTGGGAAAGCTGGACAGGACCAATCACTAACTGATCCTTGTGTTCATGCTGGAAAAATAAAATTCGGCCTTGGATGTCACATGGAGCTTGGCAGGAGTGAAACAAGGCGCCCAGAAGCTTCCATCTGACGCAAGCTCACTCTGCTTCATCTATGAGCGAGGTAAGGCTACAGGTCAGACCAAAGGGCAGAAGGGCATCGGGAAGCTGTCTGCAGTGCAGACAGGCGCATGATGGAATCTTAGAAAAATAGGTATTTTTGCTGCTGAGGTTTATCAGGTTAACGTGGTGACAGAAGCAGGGCTGTTGGGGCAGCGGCGCCCAGCTAGGACATCAGTTGCAATGTCCGCCTCGCTGAATACTTAGATCTATCAACTTAGCACCATAGCAAAGTCAAGTGATTCTAAAAGTAGCTACAAAGTTACAAATATATATCATGAGATTATACAGCCATACTAAGTTTGATCTGAACTGTAAATTAACTTTATTTTAATTTGGAGGCTTCTAACTGTTTAAGTCTTCTTTAGTTTCACCACATGGGAAATACCTAGATTCTAATGTAACTGCATGGTGAGAACACGGTCTTGCGGATGCTTCAGCAGCACTTGTGTTCTGAGGTAGACAGGTAATATTTACGCATAAACCCTTGTGTAGTAACTCTAGAAATGATTTGGATGAATAGCAAACTCAGGAAACTGATAATCCAAACAGTTCTGGGCTCAAATAGAGAGGTGAATTTTGATCAATTCCAAACAAAGAGCTTGCTTTTGTTTTACAAGGTCATACATTAAGGATTCCGTTAATTTGGATGTTCTATCCATAGTAACATTAGGTCTCACAAGTCGCTGCTCCTGACACTGTGTAAGTGAAAGAGGAAGTAGAAGAAAGAGTGGGTGCTGATAAACCCAATCCCAACTGTCAAAGCAATCCAAGAAAAATTCCAGTTGCTAAGGAGAAGACTCAGAAAGCCTGGCCCCAAGGGACACACTAAGATCCTCCTCTGCCCACCAAGAGCAGAGGTAACTGCTGGGATTACGGGGTTCTATGATTCCCATGGGGCCTGGGAGGGCAGGAAGTGACTGAGAGAGGTCCCTGGGAACCCCAGGCCATTATCCCTTCTCCTTACTCTTGCCTTCATACCCCTTAAGAGAGAACAAAGTCGGATATGCTGGCATTTTCTCTCTAACCAAACAAAACAAAATAAATTACACGTGAAGAGGGAGGTTCACAAACAGTATCCTGTCTGTGACTGGAAAAATGTCAGCTGAACAGGTTGCTCAATTAACAGATTGAAAAAGGGATTAAAAAAAAAAGGCAAGCCTGGAAATACCAACTGCCAGGAACATGGAGGTTAGCGGTCACCTCCCAAGTGCCTTTACAAGGTCTCCCCACAGGATGGCTTGTGCTGTTTGGTAAGTGACAAACAGCCACCACCACATCTTGCCAGCAGAAGGAAAACAGAAGGGAAAGGCAGGAACTTCCAAAGACTTTCCAACAAGCCAGTGCTGCACCAGCCGTACCACCCCAACTTGCCTTACGGAGGGAGCCGGAACTGCAGCCACACGACACTGGGGACTGAGGCAGGGTCTCACCTTGCCCAGCCAGGACGGCCACCATCCCAGGAAACACAGTACAAGACTCAAACTTGGGAATGGACCTCTGCTGTACTCTAAAAGGTGGGAAATTAAATTCCATGGCTAAATAATAGTATTACTGCAAGCCTCTTTGGGTATACTTTAAATTAAATTTTTATATATCTCTTAAGTCTTCAGGAAGCTAAAGGCAACATAAATATATACCATGAAAAGACTTTCAATAACTTAGGAAGGACTTAATGAAAGTACAAGTTTTTTTGAGGCTTATAATGAAACCTAATCCACAAATTAAGCCAAAAGGAACTCAGATTCTCAAGCCCCGGAAAGCAAGCAGAGGCGCTGTGTGTCGGACGCGGTGTGCAAACGTGTCACTGATTCACTTGTTCTCTGGCCTATGGACCTGAAGCAGAGATGAGCGAACTGGGAAGTGTTTTCATCCTCTGTAAACGCGTGCTGGTAGTGTCTTGTTGGGAGTGGATTCTCTCATACAAAAGTTATAAATATTCTCTATTCAGAAATCTGGTCCACATGGCACCCAGAGGCAACATTCCACGGCACAGTTTGCCGTGTAGAGCATTGGGTGTGGGCTGAGTCTGGCTGGGCTTACAGCAAGTCCATCTTGGGTCTGTAGTGTAGCAGGAGGGGCGCCTTCTGTAAGACAAAAGAAAGGTGGCTGAGGGAAGTACGAGGGGCCCATACTGTGTGCTCAAACCACAGGCACACACTGCACCAGCAATGCCACAGCTGAATCCAGTTCTGGGGACAAGGGGTAATCATCATTGGTCTCAAGTGACCCAGGGGTAACCTTGGTGGTGTTTGGGGCTCATGACAGGGCCTGTGCAGCCAGGATTTCAACTTGCTCCTCCTGCCTACTACACTAGCTCTGGTCTTTCCTATGCAGTTTCTTATACTCTCCAACCCTTGCCCTGTTCAACTACTGGTCATCCTGGTCTTTGGCTGGCCCAGTTGTCTCCATCCCCTTCTTCCTGGGCAGCAACACGATTAGAGGTGGAAGAGCTGCATTTCGGTCCCAGGCAGGGAGCGTAATACCAGTTCCTGACTCAGAAAGGTACCCAAAAGTTTGAGAGTTTGCTCCACTGGGGACTCAGGGGACTGAGTGGAGTGGTGAGCAAACACCCTGTCTAGGTAGATGGTTCCAGAAAGACAGCTGCTCACAACAGTGTCTGCAATAGAAGACACACACAGCAAGTAAGGACCAAGAATCTGTTTAAAACCTGGCATGGGAAGAACCGCCCAATCTCACCTTGAATCTCCACCGCGTAACAACCACGAACTTGAGAGTGTGGTCCTTGCCCAAGATCTCCTCGTTGCATAAAATGTCCAGCTGGTGGGAGAAGGGGCTTCAGTTAGGCACATAGTCAACCTACCTTTAGAACGAGGCCAACAGTGATAATATGAACAATACTCTCACATGTTCCGAAACAAGCGCCTCCCCAGTCATGTGGGAAGGTAGCTTGTCTGCTTATTCACTTACCCACATCATCCAATATAGAAGCCAGCCTCAAACACGAGTTATAACAGAAAAGGAACATTTCTGTTAAGACCAAAACTTCTTCAGGGGTCAAAGATACAGTGGTGTACTTTACGGCTGTGTTGCAGTGGTCCCAAGAGGCTTAGCCTGATTGCTCTGAGCATCAATGATCCTGGCCTGTCCCTACCCCAGTTATGGGCTTCTCTAATGAAGTTATGGAAGCATCACATGTGGACCCATTCCTGGATCCCACTTACTGTACCGCAATTCATTGTCCTCCCTCTAACTGGTAGTGAAATGTGAATTCCTATGTTCACCCACTGACCCTTGAAGGGCCTAGCCACCATCAACAGTTCAGTAAGCTACAGCAGAGACTCCAGGTTACAAAGCAATTTCTCTTAACATGCAGAACACAGGGCCTAGTCCATACGGAGTACATAGGACCTTATGCACATAGAACACACAGGGCCTTCTTCACATACAGTTTTCAGACCAGGATGTTTTCACCATAGCTTGGACTCTTTCTTACTTATTTAATAGACTTTACTAGAGACGCTTCAGGCTCCCTTGCCTCATCTTACATACATGTTCCCATGTAGACTAGATTATTATAGCATGGGTTATGTATCTTGTCCTTCAGTCTGTGAGGAGGTGTATCTGGACAGCACTGGCCTCTACTGCTCCAGGCTCATCTGGATAGCACTTGCCCTTACAGAATCTGCACATGGTGCCTGAGGAGGTGCATGGTGACGTCTTACTGTTTGTGTGGTTTTTAATTCTTATTTCCCTACATGTGTGAAACAATGACCCAGATGGTGTTGCTGTCTCCCTAGGCAGGAGAGAGAGGCTGTCCTCACAGGCCATATAGGAGAATGTGTTTCTTGGAGACGGTGATGAGTGGAAAACCAGCCTTCGCGTCCATGAAAGCTCACCTGTCTGCTGTCATCTTTACTAAGTGGTAAGTCCATTACACAAGGTGCATATGAACTACTGTCCCAGCAAGGCACGGTGCTCTCATCCAGTTCTTATGACTCCTAGTACTCTGCCTCCCCTCCTTATCCAATGTCAGGATAATGCTCCCCATACTTCCCACAGCACTGGGGATTGTAGGGCTCTGAGAGCAGTGTGAGATCCACCTGGGATACTCATGAGCTGACAGCCGATTGCAAAGAAAATGCTTCACTTCTTAATGGTCTTCATGGAGAAATACTCCTGCACATGACAGGCAGTCTCCCCTTGAGCTGCCTGATGTCCCTGGCTCTGTACAGCGCATAGAAGCCACTTAAAATCAAGATGAACATCTCTACCTTCATAGGATCCAAGGCTCTCCTCTACCTATTTCCCAAATAAACCAAATCTAGACTTGCTTTTTCCTGTGGGCTCCTGGTAGTGAGTATCAAGTTATGTTCTCATTCTGTGTCTGCCACCTTCTCCCCATCCACTTGTATGGTTGGCTCAGAGCTGAGTGATGGGCCCTTTACAGTTCAAAACCCTGGTTCCTGGGTTTGTGCCAGGAATGTTCAGTGTGGCTATCATTAAATAGCAGACTGGGCAACCGACGAACAGTTAAAATAGTAACATAACAAAATATTAACATGTTTTTAATATAACACAATTAACAGTTAATATAACTGGCTAACAGTTAATACGTGCTAGAGGCTGCATTTCTGCTCATAATGTAGGCACTTGCTGTCACTGCAGGCTGTAATAGAGCTGGAGATTCCCCAGGTACCAGCTCATGATTTAAACACCTCATGATTTAAATGTCATGCCTCCCAGTACCATGGGGCCGAAATGGACTGAAGAAGATCCTCTTGCCACATGGCTTCTAGGGTCTTGTGGCCAGGTCATTTCAGTCACTGCCTGTCATCTCTCATCCGCTTCCCCTGACCTGTGTCAAAAATCTTCTACTGCATACTAATAAGGATGCTTGTCACTGGGTTTAGGCTTAGCAGATAATCTGAGATGTTTCATTTCAAAATCCTTAAGACGTTACATCTGTGAAGACCTTCTTTCAGCGGGGTCATACCCACGGCTCCTGCTGGGATACGGTTCAGTGGCTAGCACAGCTCTATATACGACTCTTCAAACTACTCTCGATCACACTCACATGTACCTGAGGCAACACGCTGAACCTTCTGTCTTGACAGGGTCTATGTGCCCTCTAAGTCCTTTTCCACACATCCTCAGAAACCCTTCCTTAATGCAGCAGGGCCGGCTCCCGCTGCTCTCGCCAGACTGCTCCACAAGCCTGTTTCTGAGCACACGGCCTTACAACTCTGCCAGACAACAAGCTCTGGGTCTCTGGATCCAATTTGTTTTCATGTCATATCTACCTCTCATTCATCCACCTACCACTCACCCATTCATTAAATTAAAAAACAAAGTTCTGGGACTACAGAGAGTTCTAGGACATCCAGAGCGGCTGCAGAGAAACCCTGTCTCAAAAAACAGAACAAAACTAAAACAAACCAACAACATGCAACCCCACTGTTATGGAAGAACAGAGATAGAAGGATTATAAGATGAAGCTGCCAGCCAGGCTCAAGATTCAGTGAGAGACCTTGTCTCAAAGGAGTAAGGCAGAGAGCAACAGAGCAGGACACCAGTATCCTCCTCTGGCCTTAGCACGCTCAGAGCACCTCTCCGCCCACACATACAGACATAAGACCCAAAGTTCTGTCTTATGTACAACTGTAACCTATGCTCAGACAATCTAGTCTCTGTGTTTCTCACTGCTATTTCTTTCCATACTACCTTATGGGATAGAAAACACAAATTAAGATTTTATTTTTTTATTATAACTTTCAAACAAGGAGCTAGAAAAATCACTGGCTCAGTGATTAAGAGCACTCTGCCCACGTGTTGGCTAACAAATGTCTGTAACTCCAGTTCCAGGGGATCTGATGACCTCTTTTGACCTCTGCACCAGCATGCACATTGTACATACACATGTAGGTGAAACATTAATATAAATAAACCTTTTATGAAAAACTAGTTTCTGCTGGGCAGTGGTGGCACATGCTTTTAATTTAAGCACTGGGGAAGGAGGGGGGCCAGAGGCAGGCGTATCTCTGAGTCTGAGATCAGCCTGATCTACAAAGCGAGTTCCAGGACAGCTAGAGCTGTTACACAGAGAAACCTTGTCTCAAAAAACCAAAAATAACTAAATAGAATAAAATAAACAAATTAAACAAACAAACAAAAACTGATTTATATACAAGGGGCCAGCAAAATGGCTTAGTGGGTAACGGCACTTTGTTGCCAAGTCTGACAACCTTTGAGTTTAATCCACAGTGGAAGGAGAGAACCAACTTTTGTAAGCTGTCCTCTGATCTCCATGCAAGTGCCACTGCACATGTATACACATGTGCACACACAAAAAATCTAATTAAAACATTTTTTAAAAATACTTTTATGGTTTATTTAACTTTATTTTATGTGCATTGGTATGAAGGTGTCAGATCCCCTAGAACTGGATCTTCAGACAGTTGTGAGCTGCCATGTGGGTGCTGGGAATTGAACCCGGGTCCTCGGGAAGAGCAGTCAGTTTTTTTAACCACTGAGCCATCTCTCCAGCCCTAATTAAAACATTCTTTAAAAAAATCTCCAAATAAGGCTATTAAGAAGAAGGGATATGCGTGTTTTTGGTTGGTTGTTATTTAGCAAACAAGACAAGCAAGAAGGATCCATCCCAGCTCTTTGGCTGATGGCTACCTCATTGAAGGAGGAGAGATTGAGCTTCTTGGCGATGAATTTCTTCAGGTGCAGCACTGTTGCTTGGGCTGAGCATCGGATCCACTTCCGCTTCAGGCCCCGTAGTTTGCTGCTGTTGCATTCCAGACAGATGCTCACCTGGAAGAGAAAGGATGCGAGGTCAGACTTCCTGGACGAGCACAGCTCCTTAGAGTCTTTGTGATGCTGAAAAACACTCTAGCCTGTCAATTTTAGTTCTCTTAACTTACAGTCACCCTGAGAGTTATGTGTCTGTTTTTGCCAAAGGCACTGAGTCCCTTATGTTCTTAAGTGGCTGCCCCTGTCAGACAAGCCCTGTACTGGCAAGGTTTGTGAAGGAAACCGGTGTGCTCTTGACATAGAACAGCCATGAACAAAGCCTGGGCCTGACTCTAAGAAGGGTGCTCTGGGTGTCACAGCTTTCCAGGGTCAGAGTACAGGTGTGAGGTGGAAACCTACAAGTGGATCAACTGTTGGATCCTAACAAGTCAAGGGTACAAGTGGATCAACTGTTGGATCCTAACAAGTCAAGGGTACAAGTGGATCAGCT